TTGCAACTATAAGCTGAAGGGAGATTCGTATCGTCTTAACATCAAGAATGCGTTGCGGGATAGAAAATAAGAAGACGGAACCCATATTTTCTGAAGTAACCGAGGTAAACTGAAATATTTTTTCACTTAAATTCAAAACATATTTATTATATATTATTACAAAACAGTAATGATGTTTATCATTTGATGTTAAATATGAAAGATTACAAACGAGATATCTAAATATTGATAATTTGTTGTTACAAAATAAAATAACAAATAATAGAACATACTATTGCAATAAAAGTTATTAATAATAGTTGTGACACTTGCTTGCACTTAATCTTCAGCGTTTTTCACAAATTGACCCTGCCTTCTTTAGAAAATATTTGCCCAACATCTGGTTTAACAATTGTCTTAGATGAAAATCACTAAACAAGTAGGTAGTAATATTTTACTAGTTCGGAAATTTGAATCGTGCAATACTATGCAAATGGACATCATCAGGGCAGCATCTGGACTAAAGGATTCGGCACCGGGATTGTATCGATACGATTTAATTTAATTTAATCTTTTCTTGATACGAATTTGCGTCCACAATCGATCAGGCGATTTAAAATAAGTCCAACAGTTTTTCAAAAACTTCATTGCAGTGAATCTTAGGCACAATTTTGTTGCACAACATCGATTGTTAGTTCTTAAAACAATATTTAACAGTACACGGCAATGTGCAATCTCATTTGCAATGATAAATACCCGGTCGTTTGAAGATGATTAACAAAAGTTTGTAATACATTTTTCTGCAAATTGATAGACGATCCGCATTTTTGTGCACTTAAACTGCTTCAGTGTGTATAATAGTGTGTGTACTTTAATTGAAAATTTAAAAGAAGGCGAAACTCGAACAGGCATTTAGTACATGAGCACCCTTAACCGAGTATTTGCAGTATCTGCAGCTTCTCCCTTGATAATTTGTTGATTCATTGTTATCAGCGTTATAAAATAAACTGCGCCGAACACAATAATATCACACTCAATAATTGATAAATCAAAATC